CGATGCTGGCGCTGGTGCTGGTGTAGGCGCTGGCATTCATGCCAGCGTAGGCGCGGGCGTTGGTGCTGTCGTCGGTGCTGTCGTCGATGGTGGCGTAGGCTCTGGCGTTTGTGCCGGCATAGGCGCGGGCGTTGGCGCTGGCGTCGATGCTGGCGCTGGTGCTGGTGTAGGCGCTGGCATTCATGCCAGCGTAGGCGCGGGCGTTGGTGCTGTCGTCGGTGGTGTCGTCGACGGTGGCGCAGGCTCTGGCGTTGGTGTCGGCGTAGGCGCGGGCGTTGGCGCTGGCGTCGATGCTGGCGCTGGTGCTGGTGTAGGCGCTGGCATTCATGCCCGCGTAGGCGCCGGCGTTGGTGCAGTCGTCGGTGCTGTTCTCGACGGTGGCGTAGGCTCTGGCGTTGGTGCCAGCGTAGGCGCGAGCGTTGGCGCTGGCGTCGATGCTGGCGCTGCCGCTGGCGTTCATGCCGGCGTAGGCGCGGGCGTTGGCGTTGTCGTCGGTGGTGTCGTCGACGGTGGCGTAGGCTCTGGCGTTGGTGTCGGCGTAGGCGCGGGCGTTGGCGCTGGCGTCGATGCTGGCGCTGGTGCTGGTGTCGGCGCTGGCGTTCATGCCGGCGTAGGCGCTGGTGTCGCCTCTCGAGCTGGCTCTGGGGTCGCCCTCGGAACTGGCGTCAAAGTCTCCTCCGAAGATGTCGCCGGTGTCGCCCTCGGAGCTGGCGTCGGGAGCGTCGACCTGTACGGCCGTGGGGCTGCCGTCGGAGCCGGCGTCGGAGACGCCGACGGTGTCGTTGTCGGAGCCGGCGCTGGTGCCGCTGTCGAGGTAGGCGTCAAAAGCCTCGTCGATGCTGCCGTCGGAATTGCTTTCGGAGCCAACGCCGCAGACGTCGTGAGCAACGCCAAGCCAATCGGCATCTCCGCCGGAACCAGCCCCGGGGTCGCGGCTGGAGCTCGTGACGGAGTCGTCGGCGCGGGGGCCGCCGTCGGAGGTGGTGCCGAAGCCGCCGTCGGAGCCGATGCCGGCGAAGCCGTCGTCGGTGGTGGTCGATGTCGCCGTGGTAGCGGTCGTGGCCCCGGTCGTGGTCGTAGTGGAGGTCGTGGTAGTTGGCGTGGGAGCAGGCGTGGTCGTGGTCGTGGGAGGAGCCGTAGCCGTCGTCGACGCAGTCGTGGTAGTTGACGCGGTACTGCTGGCGTCGCTGGACGTGGCCGTGGTGGTGGCCGCGATCGCGTCCCTCGTCGCCGTGGGAATGCTCGCGGCCGTGGCCCTGGTCGTGGTCGTAGTGGAGGTCGTGGTAGTTAGCGTGGCAGTGGGAGTAGACATGGTCGTGGGATGGATCATGAGCGTCGTAGCCGCGGTCGTGGTAGCCGGCGTGGTAGTGCAGGCGTCGCTGGTCGTGGTCATGGTCGCGGTAGTGGTCGTGTCCCAGGTCGTGGTTGTGGTCGAGGTCGTGGTAGTTGGCGTGGCAGTGGGAGTACTCATGGTCGCGCGAGGATGTGCTGCGAGGAAGTCTCAGGCGAAACGGGCCGGACCACCTCGAGCGCGGCGTCTCAGAGCTCCGAGTTGCGGGGGCCTCCTGGGGCCTCCTGGGACCTCCTGGTGACCTCCTGGGGCTTCCTCCTGGGCCTCCTGTGGCCTCCTGGACCCCACCTGGGGCTTCCTGAAGCCTCTTGGGGCTCCCAGGGGGGGATATGTAACATGTGGCCGTCGGGGCCCCCCAAAATGGGGGGGGGGGGCACAAGAGCAGGAAAAATCAACGAATCGACACCTGATGTGTATGAACTTGACACGTTCTGATAGGGGGCCTCCTGGAGCCTCCTGGGAGCCTCCTGGGAGCCTCCTGGGAATCTCCTGCGGACCCCTGGGGCCTGTGCGTCCTGCGGCCTCCTGAAGCTCTCTGGGGCCTCCTGGGGCTCCCAGGGTCCCAGGGGGGATATGTAACATGTGGTCTTCTGGGCCCCCAGGCTGGACCACCTCGTGCGCAGCATCTGAGAGCTCAGAATTGCGAGAATGTCTTGTGCGAAACGGGCCAGACCACCTCGCGCACGGCATCTCAGAGCTCAGAGTTACGAGGATGTCTCAGGCGAGATGGGCTGGACCACCTCGCGCAGGCATCTCGGAGCCTAGAGTTGCGAGGACGTCTCCAGCGTAACGGGCTGGACCACCTCGCGCGCGGCATCTCGGACCCCAGAGTTGCGACGATGTCTCGGGCGAAACGTGCTCCGAGGAAGCCTCAGGCGAAACGGGCCGGACCACCTCGAGCGCGGCGTCTCAGAGCTCCGAGTTGCGGGGGCCTCCTGGGGCCTCCTGGGACCTCCTGGGGACCTCCTGGGGCTTCCTCCTGGGCCTCCTGTGGCCTCCTGGACCCCACCTGGGGCTTCCTGAAGCCTCTTGGGGCTCCCAGGGGGGGATATCTAACATGTGGCCCCCCAAAATGGGGGGCAGGAAAAATCAACGAATCGACACCGGATGTGTATTAACTTGACACGTTCTGATAGGGGGCCTCCTGGAGCCTCCTGGGAATCTCCTGCGGACCCCTGGGGCCTGTCCTGGGCGTCCTGCAGCCTCCTGAAGCTCTCTGAGGCCTCCTGGGGCTCCCAGGGTCCCAGGGGGGATATGTAACATGTGGCCGTCGGGGCCCCCCAAAATGGGGGGGGGGGGCACAAGAGCAGGAAAAATCAACGAATCGACACCTGATGTGTATGAACTTGACACGTTCTGATAGGGGGCCTCCTGGAGCCTCCTGGGAGCCTCCTGGGAGCCTCCTGGGAATCTCCTGCGGACCCCTGGGGCCTGTGCGTCCTGCGGCCTCCTGAAGCTCTCTGGGGCCTCCTGGGGCTCCCAGGGTCCCAGGGGGGATATGTAACATGTGGTCTTCGGGGCCCCCAGGCTGGACCACCTCTTGCGCAGCATCTGAGAGCTCAGAATTGCGAGAATGTCTTGTGCGAAACGGGCCGGAACACCTCGCGCACGGCATCTCAGAGCTCAGAGTTGCGAGGATGTCTCAGGCGAGATGGGATGGACCACCTCGCGCAGGGCATCTCGGAGCCTAGAGTTGCGAGGATGTCTCCAGCGTAACGGGCTGGACCACCTCGCGCGCGGCATCTCGGACCCCAGAGTTGCGACGATGTCTCGGGCGAAACGTGCTGCGAGGAAGTCTCAGGCGAAACGGGCCAGACCACCTCGAGCGCGGCGTCTCAGAGCTCCGAGTTGCGTGGGCCTCCTGGGGCCTCCTGGGGACCTCCTGGGGCTTCCTCCTGGGCCTCCTGTGGCCTCCTGAACTCTACCCGGGGCTTCCTGAAGCCTCTTGGGGCTCCCAGGGGGGGATATCTTGCATGTGGCCGTCGGGGCCCCCCTAAAATGAGGGGGGGGGGCACAAGAGCAGGAAAAATCAACGAATCGGCACCGGATGTGCATTAACTTGACACGTTCTGATAAGGGGGTCTCCTGGGGCCTCCTGGGAGCCTCCTGGGAATCTCCTGCGGACCCCTGGGGCCTGTCCTAGGCGTCCTGCGGCTTCCTGAAGCTCTCTGGGGCCTCCTGGGGCTCCCAGGGAGGATATGTAGCATGTGGTCTTCTGGGCCCCCAGGCTGGACCACCTCTTGCGCGGCATCTGGGAGCTCAGAGTTGCGCGAATGTCTCGTGCGAAACAAGCCGGACCACAAAGCGCACGGCATCTCAGAGCTCAGAGTTGCGAGGATGTCTCAGGCGAGACGGGACGGACCACCTCGCGCAGGGCATCTCAGAGCTCAGAAGTTCGAGGATGTCTCAGGCGAAACGGGCCGGACCACCTCTCGCGCGGCATCTCCGAGGTCAGAGTTTCGAGGATGTCTCAGGCGAAACGGGCCGGACCACCTCGCGCAAGGCATCTCAGAGCTTAGAGTTTCGAGGATGTCTCAGGCGAAACGGCCCGGACCACCTCTCGCACAGCACCTCGGGGCTCAGAGTTTCGAGGATGTCTCAAGCGAAACGGCCCACACCACCTCTCGCGCGGCGTCCCGGAGCACAACTTTTCGAGGATTTCTGAAGCGAAACGGCCAATCCCGGCCAACTCAGAAACAAGAGTTGTGAGGATGTCTCAAGCGAAACGGCCCGGACCATCAAATTTTTGTGAGGATGTCGACTTCCCTCGGCCGGAGTTCGTTTCTATCACAACAGCACCCCGTTCAGCAAGCTGTTTGGAGAAAAACAGCATCTCCATCATCAGTTCCTGAAGGGAGTGGATCCTGGCATCGAGGACAAATTTTCTGTTGATAACCAATGTTATGCCAACCCATCGTCATACTAGGCAAACGTGTATTGTTATTGATGGGGTGCTCAGTTTGTTGAATTTTCTTCTAGTAGCTCCCGAGAAGCTAACCTCCCACTACGAACTGGTGAGTACATGGCAGCGTATGTCCGTTAAGCAAAACTACTCTGAGCAAACTATCGCGCATCCTTCCTTACTCGCGCGCGCGAGGCGAGCCCGCCCGGCCGGCCAGCGCGCGCTTTTGCTTGACTAACTATCGCAGCTTCTTGGATTGCTATGAGTGTTTACACCCCTTCCGTATAATCAATGCCCGACCTACACTCTGCAAGTGAAAAGAATGGAGGGCTACAGAAGTACGCGAAGGGAGTGTTAATAATGATTAGTTCCCTCGGGGCCCTATCCAGGACACAGGCCCCCGCGCCGAAAACTGAGCATGGCGGACCCCCCTTCCTCCCCCCATCCCCCACCCTGCTGGAAGGCAAGCGGTCTGACGAACAGTGAGGAATGGCAGAACAACAAGCTGCATACATAAACAAAAACTCGGATCGGCGCTGGACCCCCTGGCGCGCACCGCGCGCCAGGAGCGGCGCCACAGGCGCCGCCATGGTGGCCCAGCGCAGACCCGAGAAATCCGCGAGGACCTCCGCCAGTTTATGTTTACGCAGTCTGTTCTTCGAAGGCAGAGTAGAAAAGGGAGCGAAGAGGAATGGCGTGGATCTGTGAACTTGTCGGTTTCCTGGCCCTCCGCCCCTCCCTCGGCACCGCGTCTTCCAGGGACGCGTTGCTCATGTTCGTGAACGCCTCGGGCGTTTGTGCGAACGCCGACAGTCCCCTGCCGCCTGGCTGCTTCCCTCGCCCCCATCCTCCCACTCCTCTTCCACCTCCTCCTCATCGTCCTCGTTCTCGTCCTCGTTCTCCTCCTCCTCCTCCTCCTCCTCCTCCTCCTCTTACTCCTCCTCCTCCCACCAAAATAGTAACGATAGTCGTAACAGTAGCCGTAGTACTACTAGCAGTAATAGTAGTAGTAGTAGTAGTAGTAGTAGTAGTAGTAGTAGTAGTAGTAGTAGTAGTAGTAGTAGTAGTAGTAGTAGTAGTAGTAGTAGTAGTAGTAGTAGTAGTAGTAGTAGTAGTAGTAGTAGTAGTAGTAGTAGTAGTAGTAGTAGTAGTAGTAGTAGTAGTAGTAGTAGTAGTAGTAGTAGTAGTAGTAGTAGTAGTAGTAGTCAGTAGTAGTAGTAGTAGTAGTAGTAGTAGTAGTAGTAGTAGTCGTAGTAGTAGTAGTAGTAGTAGTAGTAGTAGTAGTAGTAGTAGTTCGTAGTAGTCAGTAGTAGTAGTAGTAGTAGTAGTAGTAGTAGTAGTAGTAGTAGTAGTAGTAGTAGTAGTAGTAGTAGTAGTAGTAGTAGTAGTAGTAGTAGTAGTAGTAGTAGTAGTAGTTAGTAGTAGTAGTAGTAGTAGTAGTAGTAGTAGTAGTAGTAGTAGTAGTAGTAGTAGTAGTAGTAGTAGTAGTAGTAGTAGTAGTAGTAGTAGTGTAGTTTTGTTTGAGGCGACGAACGCAACAGCTCTCGAGTCACCTGTGCACTCCGTAGCGGCACGCGGCAGAGATTGACCAGTGGCTTTATTTACAGCAACATCCCAAAAGTAAAAAGCACTGGCGCGAAAAACTGAATTGGCCGGCCGAGTAAACGTCACCGTAATTATTCAGGGGGAAAGGGAAGAGGAGGGGGACGAGGACGGAGGAGGAGGAGAAAGAGGAGGAGGGAGGGCAAACAAAGCAACGTGGTCATCGCCTGACTGCCTGTCAGTCTGGGTGCCTCATGACCTGGTTGCGCGACCGCAGACAATTCAGTTACACAGTTTTGACTCCAACGAGGCGGAGGGGGAGGAGGAGGGGGGAGGGGGCGACGAACGAGGAGAAGGGAAGGGAAAACAACAAAGCTCGCGCATACGGGAGCCTGCCAGGGCTTCACCTGGGGCAATCGCACAGATATCCCACACGAGGAGGAGGAGGAGGAGGAGGAGGAGGAGGAGGAGGAGGAGAAGGAGGAAAAAGGCAAATATGCATGAGCACGTCCTCACGCGATGCACCTGTCGGAAAGCTCGGGGCCGTCACAGCGGGAGCGACTGGGCGAACCCCATGTTCAGCAAGTAGAGAATCGCGATGGGGAGGCTGATGGGCGCGCACCAACCACCCCGACCGCGACGAGCATGCAAGAGAAAGAGAGGAATATGTACACGTCGCTGATCTGCATCATCACGTCTGGCACGATCTGCACCACCGCGGCCTTGGCACGTATGAAGATGGAGTGGCTCAGGAAACGGGCGCCCTCAAGCACCGCCGGCACCCCCCGCGCGCACGCGTCGAAGAGCCTCGATGAGAAATGAATGCCCCGCAGCTGCCTCTCTGAAGGCTTGCGCCCAGACTTCCCCGGCGTTGCTGGCCTCCCCGCGACGCGCGGCGTTCGTAGCGCGGAACGTTGCATAGAGGCGCAACGCCTTCACCGCGAAGAGGTCCTGCTGGCTCAGGTCGAAGACTGGCGCCAATAGCAAGAAATCGTCGAGCTTCAAGCCGGGGCGCGCCGGAGCGAGGCGGGCGCGACCGAACGCCAGCTGCTCGACGACCCGGCAATGCGCGTAGTGGTGCAGCGAGTCCTGGCCGCGGCCGCACTGGAAGAGGCAACCCCTGTGGCAGTTCATGCGGGCGCCTGTGGTCCAGCCGTCGCACTGAGCCCGAAGCACCGCGGCCCAGACACATGGGGGCACCTTATTCTTCAAGCCCAGCAGCGCACGCATCGCTCTGTCCACCCTCCTGCCCTGGAGAGTGCTCAATCGAAGACGATCAAGCTGGCGACGTAGGTGGCGATGGAGAAGTGCTACGTCGCGATGCTGGAAAACGACGACGCATCGCCGTTGCCACCGCTCCCGGGTTACATCGGCAGCCTCCCCACCACGAAGCAATTCTCTACAGATGCCCCTGTCTCGTGAGCTCGTTGTTCGAGTCTGGACTGGGCTTTCTCCAGACTGTGGAGGAAGGAACTGCTGGCCCAATCCAGCCAGCCGAGAGGGATCTCGGCCGGGCCGATCATGGACTTGAGGCGCTGGGCGCGGCGATCTATGTCCAGGCCGCCGCTCTGATGGCCCTCCCACCGGTGCACGCGGCATTTAGCAGCCAGCGAAACTGTAGCCGCACAGGGCAGCTCTGCAGGGAAGCCGATATCCTTCAGTTGCACCAAGACTTGCGGCGAAATCCAACCGCTCGGGCCTGGGAAGAGCCAGCTGCAAATCCGTCTTTCCCACGCAGGCCAGTCATCGGGCAACTCTTCCAGCTGCAGCAGGAAACTGGCCACGGGGAGGATGTAGGTGCGGTACGCGGACAGCGAGACGAGGAAGCCGCCCCCGATGTCCCACCAGATCCGCGCGCGGTCCTGCATCTTCAACGAGCGGCCCTTGCGGTCTGGTCCTAAAGCGAAGCCGGGGTACGTGCCGTAGCTCTGGATGGAGAAATCGCCCCACGTTGGGGCGGCCGCCACCAAATCCTGGCGCACCAGTGCGGTAGGCCGGGACGACAACGGTATCCAGATCGACTTGCCGTGGTGGAGCTTTAACCCAGAGATCCTGTAATACTCCTCGAATATGTTCTCAAGCACGTGAAGGCCCCGCACTCCTCCGGGCCGGACCATGGCCAAATCATCCGCGTAAGCACGAAGAAGAGAGTCAGGCTGCAAGCGACATATTCGCCGGATGATCAAGTCCGAGACGACGGCAAATATGAGTGGTGAGAGCGGGCAGCCTTGCCGAACTCCAGAATCGATCCGGAAGCCCTTGCCAACAGTGCCAGACAAAACAATGTTGCAATCGCTAGCCCAATACAATATCCGGACGACCTTGAGGATCCACTCGGGCCAACCGCGGGCGGCGAGGACCATATTCAGAAAACGGTGGGAGATGCTCGGGAACGCGGCCTCGAAATCCAACAAGATGGCGGCGGCGTCGCTCTGCTGGAAAGCGGCCGTGATCATCGCTTCGTCCACGTCCAAAACGTTGGAAAGCATCGAGCGCCCTGGGAGGAATCCTCGTTGCTCGTCGGCGACTCCAGCGGCAGCGGCAAGCTCGATATGAAGACGCACGCCCCCGCAAAAGATGCGGTTGATGCTGTTGGTGATGTTGAGAGGACGCATGTTCGCAGTGGAGTAGTAGTTCGCGCCGTCGTCAAGTGCTCTGGCCGGCTTTTTGGGCAGAAACACCAAGATGGACTCGTTGAAATCCGGCCAATCTTCCTGCATGATGCGCTCACCGTGTTCGCCCGTCATCTCCATGAAAGCGGCGTGCAGCGCAGAGGCTGCCACCTCGCCGATCTTGCGCCACGCCTTGAAAGGGATCCCATCCGGACCCGGAGCGCTATTTTTCGAAAGACGAATCGCCTCAAAGAACGCTTCCCGAGGGACCGACACGGGCAGATCTGGGCGACGGACAAGGTGAGCTGCGTGGGCCGTGTCTTCCTCCAGCCACTTGCGCAGGAGGCCCTCGTTGATCGCCTTCTCGGTGAAGACCGTGCCCCAGTGGCCCCGAAGCGCCTCGACCATGCGGGACGGGTCGGTCGTGACCTCTCCAGACGCCTCCATGATGCCGATGCTGGAGCAGCTGCGGCCTGGCGCCAGGCGGTGAACAAGCAGCGTGTTCTTCTGACGGCGTCTAGAGGCCTGCTCCGCGGTGAGCGTCTTGAGGTCCCCGTGCAAAGAGTTGAGCTCGGCCATCGTGAACTCTCTGGAAAGCTCCATCACATGCTCGCGAACCCGACGAAGGCGGGGCCCGGGGGCCGTGGAGAAGTCGTAGGGGTTGTTGACAAGAGTACAAAGAAGAGGGTATCGAGATATGCACTGTGAGACGCGCTCTGGGACACAAGCCTCCGAGGCGCGTATGAAACGTAGTGCTGTGCCGATGCGGTCCTCAATGTCGTCTGCAGCGGGCGCTTCGCCCGGGCGTGCCAGCAGGGCGCGCTCTGCGTCCCTCATCGCCTCCTGGAGCATCTTGAGCTGAGCCACGCCAGAGGCCTCCGGGCATGCATGGCACCGGTCTTGCCAAACCAACATGACCTGTCTCGGCCAGTCTGGATCATCAACTGCCTGGTCCTTCAACGGCATGTTCCCGTTGCGCTTGCCCACCGGGATCTTCCGACGAAAGCTGACGGGGCGATGCCTGGAGAGGGACGGGTTCCAGCCGAGGGCCGTAGTAGTAGTAGTCGTAGTAGTCGTAGTAGTAGTAGTAGTAGTAGTAGTAGTAGTAGTAGTAGTAGTAGTAGTAGTAGTAGTAGTAGTAGTAGTAGTAGCAGTAGCAGTAGCAGTAGCAGTAGTAGTAGTAAAAAAAGGAAAACTAACAGTAGTAGTAGCAGTAGTAGTCGCAGCAGTAGTAGTAGTAGTAGTAGTGGCAGTAGTAGTACAAATACGACTATCACTACTACCACTACCACTACCACTACCACTACCACTACTACTACTACTACTACTACTACTACCACTACTACTACTACTACTACTACTACTAGTACTAGTACTACTACTACTACTACTACTACTACTACTACTACTACTAGTACTACTACTACTACTACCACTACCACTACCACTACTACAACAGCTACTACTAGTACTACGGCTACGACTACCAGCGCTAGTCCTACTACTTCTACTACTACTACTACTCCTACTACTACTACTACTACTACTACTACTACTACAAGTACGACCACGACGACTACGACTACTACTGCTACTACGACCACAACAACCACTACTACAACTACTACTACT